GTTGGCCAAAACCCACGTTCTCGGGCCTCTTACTCCGTGGATTCACTGAGCGGGCGGAATACAACCTTGGAAGTCGTGTCATGAGATAGGGTTGATCGCCTCGCCTGGTATACGTCCAGGGTGCATGAGAATGGTCAATTAGCAGTGTCAAATATGAGCCTGGTATACTTCAAGGCCTGTGGGGATTACCCATGCTATCGGTGGAAAGCCTGAAGTACAACCCGCTACTCTGTAACATCGTTTACATGGCTTGTAGAAATCTTGAAGTACATCACGCTATCATTCAAATTTACACTCAAAACTCAAAAGTCACGCGACATCCTCCAGGCTGGACTCAATTCATGTGACATTTGTATACTCCTGCTGTGCTTCGGACCACTGTGCAGCTATATCTGATACCTAAAATCCGGTTCGCGATCCGTATACTGCTTGCCAGCAGGCATAGTATACCCTTGGGCGAGCTTGATATCCTTTCTCTTCTCCCTTCTCCTATAAATCGCCCTAACAATCCACCATCCGCACCATGCAAACGCTAAACAGCCCAAGCTCCACGCATGGCCCAAGGTATACTTGGGCGCTGCATTGCTCTGATAGATCTGACCCGAGACCACGCCCCCGATGTTGGTGAGTGTGAGCAAGATGCCTAGAGAAGCGGCGCGTTTGCCATCGGGCGCGCAATTCGCTGATAGCCAGGTTATGTTTCCGCCGGTGCAGAGGAAACAGGCTGTTGCAACAAGGTAGGTGGCGAAGTATTGAACGTATGGGCTGACAGGAGAGAGGAGGATGGCGTAGCCGGCGATGCCTACTGGCGCCATCAGGATGAGTGGCAAGAACCGCGTTTGATACCGATCCGACAGGTATGCGCCGACTGCGTAGACGATGGCGCCCCAGATGTTGACGGGAATAACGAGGTATTGTGCCTGTGCATGTCAGTGCTGTATGCAAAACTGTAAGTGGCTAGCAGTACCTGTTTGGTAGAGAAGTTGAACCCATTCCTGATGATGATAGGTAAGAAGGTGCCGAAACCATACAGAATCGTCACAACGGCGATCTGGATTACACCATGCACCCAACTCTTGATGTCCTTCGCTGCTTCTTTGATATCAGCTTTCCCATAATGACCGGAGCCCTCGGAGTCAGAGTAGGCCTGCGTTCGATGTGCGCGCTGGCGCATGAGAGCCTTCTCGTCATCATTGAGGAAATACGCTGTCTCGAAGGATTTGGGGACAAGGAAGATGCAGCAGGCTGCCCATATTATGGTGATGATGCCTTCAATGACATAAAGCCTGTATGATGCATTAGTCTAAAGGCCATCAGAGTTGCGAGAGCTGAAACTCACCATCTCCACCCCGACCACCCAGCAACCCCGTTCATGTACAGGATGCCGAATGCAATGAGGCCACCAAAGGCTCCCGACAACGCCGACGCGATGAAGAGATACGCGATACGGATACCAAGCTCTTCTCTAGTGTACCAGTTACACAGGAACAGTGTCATTGCCGGAAACAGGCAGCCTTCGAAGAAGCCAAGGAAGATGCGCGTAGTAACTAGGCCAGCAAAGTTTTGCACAAAGCCGGTGCAGAGACATGTGATACCCCAACAAAACGTAATCGTGGGAATGACTCTGTTGAACTGGAGACGCTTGACTAGCAGCGAGGTTGGAAACTGTGTGAAGTCAGATGGGTAGATCTGGAATAGCGGATACACATACTTCGGCGAGAATGTAGAAGATGTAAAACACCGATACAGCAGTCTGCGATTGCGTCAGTCTGAACGAGTTCTCACACATTACATTGAGGCTATCACGCACGTTCAACTCGCTGCCTTTCAGTCCAATATCCGTCGTCATGCCCTGCGTCGCAGCAAACCCAATGTTACCGCGATCCAGATAGCTGATGAGCATCAACATCATCATGACTGGCGCAACGAAGCAATCCAGCTTTCGTCGTAATGCATCTTCTTCCTTCTTGTTCTCGATGATCTCCGGGGTTTCATCTTGCGTGAGATATTCACGCTGCACTTGTTCGTGTTTCTCGTCGGTAACCGAGCGTTGAAGGTCTGGCGTTGCCATTGCCGAAAGATGTCAAGAAGCGAGGGAAACGGTAGCGGATAGCTTCCTGATGCCTTATCCGAGCTCAAAGATCAAGTAGTCTCGTCTATTATGCATCTTCCATAGAAAGGCGTGAATCCGGTATGTATAAACGCTATGCCCCTTCCTGCGTTCATTACTCGTGTCCATCGTCTAGGCCTAGGTCCTTCTCCAACTTCCATGAATCCTCCATCACTCGCTTCGATACGCAGGACGCCTGAAGAGTGAGTGACACAGAAAGGCTGCATGTCGACGTCGGTGGCAGGGTGTAGAGTATTAGCCGGATTGCCGATCTGCGAACGTTGCGGAGGTGGAGAAGCCATGTGTGGTTCCCCAATGCGGGGTGAGATGCGGGGCTAGCTTGGGGAAGCACGACGCGGCTTGGTATGATGGGTGTTCTGAGAAAGGAAGTAATTTCTGCGAGCAGATGGCCAGGATGAATGGTGGTGTGCGGGGAAAGGTATTGGTGAGTCCGTCGCAACTGCAATCCCGCTTGAGGAAACATCGCGCTACTGGGCATGGCTCCTGCCAATTGACATCTCACATCAACAAGCTGATACTACAATTGCGAAAATACTCTCATAAATCTAAAGAGAAGGAAACGATAATCGACGAGAAGGCACTGGCGATCACGTTCTCAACACAATGTCGTCACCAAGCAAGACTGTGGCCTTCATCGGTGCGTTCCTTCCTACCTAGCTAATTCCAATCCATCACTTCTCATACTTACGTTTCGCAGGTCTTGGCGTAATGGGCTATCCCATGGCCCTCAATCTTCGTAAAGGTCTCGACACCTGCCATACCCTCCTAATCTGCGACGTATCCACCTCCGCGCTCGAAAAGTTCCAATCAGACGCCTCAGGCCAGGGTCCAGTGGAAGTAGTAAAGAACGGATATGATGCTGTCCAAAGAGCCGACACCGTTATAACAATGCTTCCAGATTCGAATGCTGTACTGAAGGTGTACCTTGATAAAGAAACGGGGGTGCTCGCTGGTGCGGAGGCACTACCGGAAGCTGGAGAGGGAAAGTTGATCATGGAATGCGGTACCATCGAAACGGCTACGATACTGGAGGTTGCGAAAGCAGTGGAGAACTCTAGCGCGAGCAAGATGCTGACATTTGTTGATGCGCCGGTGTCTGGTGGGCCCATGGGTGCGCAGGATGGTACGCTGGCGTTCATGGCAGGCGCGAACAACAAGGACATCTTCCCTACTGTAAAGGGCTATCTAAGCCACATGGGCAAGCCGGATACGATATTCCTCTGCGGCGACATCGGCGCAGGCACGGCGTTCAAGGTTATCAACAACTACCTCAGTGCCATCACATCGCTGGCAGCGTCTGAAGCCCTGAACATCGGTTCGAAGATGGGGCTAGACGTTGCACTACTTACGGATGTAATCAACGTCTCTGGAGGTCAGTGTTGGGTAACGAGTAAGAGCAATCCAGTACCGGGTATACAAGCGAATGTGCCGAGTTCACGGGGTTACGAAGGCGGGTTCCGCATCGAGCTTTGCGCAAAGGTGTTGGGCATGGGGAGTCAGCTTGCGGAGATGGTTGGGGCGCGCACTATACTCGATAAGCCTACGTTGGAGGCTTTTGGTGAGGCAATGAAGGATGACAGGTATAAAGGGAAGGACGCGAGGGTGGTGTATAAATGGTTGAATGAGAGCGAGCGATAGTTATGATTGGTATGCCAGTTCCTCAGGACGATTAAAATAATGAAAATAACATTAGTTTACGTCCGGTCCCTTGATGATATCCAGTTAACGAGATGGGAGATCTATCAACAGCTCTTGTTGCAGGAGTGCGTTGGTACGACTATTCGAGGACGATCCGATGCTTGCTGAGATCGCTTCCAGCGAATTGTTGCATGACCTCGCCATCCATCACACTATTGATGTAGCATGAGCCTATGAACTTGTGCCGACCTTCCTTCGCTGGCGTGAGAAGAAAAGGGACAGTCGCCCCGAATATGATGCAGCATACGTCGCCAACTTCGATCAAGTCGCCTATCGGAGCCACTCCGATGCGCCCATTCCTGGTCAAAAATATACTCGCGTCGTTGAGATGTATCATTCTATATCCGAGGTTTGCGGCATTACGTCTCTCGTGCTCTTCTATCACCGCATCCTCCTGATCATTCAGTTTCGTCACGCTGATACTGTTTCTGTATGCATCAATCGAGCTTTGCATCGTCTCATCGGTAATGGTGGAGGAGCCATAGCCTGCTGGATAGCCTACCAAGAGGCTGCGCAAAAATTCGACTTGTCGCACTGCGATGCCCAATTGTGACGAGGTTTGCATCACATCATGCCATAACGTATCCATGAGTAGGACGTTTGACCTTATAGTCGGTACATCGGTCAGATTAGCCCTACTTTGATTCGATCGTATCGCATTTGATCTCCATATGACGGTGTCGAAGGTGCAAGCACCAACATTCAAAAGATTCCCGTCATGGTGTATGTCTTTGAAGAGCTCTCTGGTGCCTCCAGCTTGGAACCAATGGTTCGTGTTCGCTATTCCTAAGCGATATTTCCCAGGGACGTGCCATACCGGCGACCAAGATGGATGCACGTCGTCCAGAAGCCTCTTTCTACTATCGTGAGTGACGTCCGAAAGGATGAAAGACCCTTCTGCGGCATTCCTCATCAGCGCAAGGGCGAGACGAACATTGAGATCGTCTATTGAAGAAGTATAGTCGGCCTCCACCAACGTACTGCCTTCACTATCCATAGCAGCTGGACACCCTAAGAACGCGTAAACACGGTCCCTAGGATCACTTGCTTCTAGATAGCGGGCTGCCCGAAGGACCGACGCAAATGTGGTCTGTATGGAGCTAGTGATTAGATACTCCAGTCCAATACGGGTTTTCTGCCACCGTTCCGGCTGGTGATGATTGTAATAGAACTAGGGATACATGTTTTCTGTTTTCAGAGATTTGACAACCCCAATAGTAGTCCGGATAGTTTCCTTGAATTCTGGGCGTCTGTTCATCCACGTGCATATTTCCAACACGTCAGCAATATCGATGCTGATCGGGCCCCAAAACAAACAACCTTCTTTGGCGATGGCGACTTCTTGGACAGTCCATACTCGTCTGAACCAAGGAAATTCGAAGATTCTCTTGACTCCTAACCATCGTTTCGTATCCATACAAATAGGGTACGGTTTGGTAAAGCGGACCATTTGGTGGATCATTTGGTCTGCCTGCAAGAACGAGTCCTGAAAGTATGCGTTCGCCTCAAGAATGATAGCAAACGCATCGATAGCGATATTTTGATCATCGCGACCAAGCCAAACAAGTGTGCGTTTTGCGTTGGCGTAGACTTCGCCCATTCTCTTGACCTGATGTCCCTTCTCTCTGTCGTCTTTCTGGTTGATACAGAGAGCATCCGCCCATAGTAGTCGAGGCTCAGTCGTGTGTCGGAAGTTCCGAAATGCATCTGCGAGGCTGACAGTGATAGCTACTCGCAGTCCATTACACCGTACATCGACAGTGTCGTTGGGGTCGCCCCAAACGTACGATATGGCTTCATATGAGCCTTTGGATTCTTCGATGCCAATGATTTTGAGGCTGCACTCAATGCCTTGATCGGTTTCGCCAGATTGGAGTTTTAACACGCGAATAAACTCGCCCGCTGGTAGTGGTTTGTAGATTGTCTTGTCAGGTATGTCATCGCTCATTTCCAGTCGTCCGATCTCAGACGATGCGATAGTACATTCCGACATTTTTCGATTGTATGTTGAAAGAGCCAGCTCGCTCGTGGACATGTCGTGTCGATGAGAGAAGGGAAGCGGGGAAGGAAGGCTGAGCTTATATGAAATCAGGCAGCTACACGCCACCACCTGCTGATTGGCGAAACGGATGCAGAGCTCTGGACCCAAATACCCTCGCACCATCCATACGGTGTCGCCAGGACTTTGGCGGGGTACTGTTATTACCAGGAATGACAAGGGGTGTTAATGGGACATAATTGAGTACTTACTTAAAACGAACATATAGATATATTAGACCTCTAAAGACCACTTGTGCCCCAGTAGTATCTAATGCCAAACAAAAGAAATACCCCCATACCATGTATATGCCTCCCAACCCAGCCGCGAGACCAACCAGTCCCACGGCATCAGATGCCGCCTAACCCAAGGAAAAGTGGTATGCTGTGGTATCATCCATATGCGAGCCCTAAAACGCCATATAACACCTTTCCGATCCATCGGACGCACTGCTGATAGACCATGTAGACCCGTTGCTTACGGGCAGGTCAAACTCCTCGTCCTCTTGCTATCACCCAAGCCTAGTACTTCTCCCCTGACATGCTTGGGTACTTGAGCTTTCGCCCAGCACTGCATAGCTACTCTGCGCATGAGCTCCACTTCCTCATCGCGCAGCCTGAGTTGTCGCTTCGCCAGCTTGCTCTTTCTGAGCTTGACGCCCTTCTCCTGAACCGCTTGTCCAGATACCACAAAAGGCACCGTAGGATGTGTGAGCCCACGCTTCGAGCCAGGGCGTTCGGTCGTAGGCGACGAAACGAGGGACTCAAGGTTCACGCACTCAGCGATGAGAGCCTGGATGCCAGCGGAGAGCTGTGTTGCGCGCGAGAGAATATAGCCCCAGATCTCCGAGCCCTCCCAAAACGGGTCGTTTATAACGGCGTGTTGGAGCGCGGGGAGGATGTGAGGGAGCGGAGGCAGCGTTCGGTCCTCGATGTGCTTTGGCGGTTCTTCTTGCGTTGGCGTCGCGATGTTTGCTGTGCTAAGCAGACTTGCGGCGATGGTCAAGCGGATGTGGCTGTCGGTGCTGAGGGTTGCTGTTACGACGCATGCTGGGCAGCCCCGGGTGCGGCACCAGTCCGCTTCTTCGGTTATGAAGCATTGCAGCCCGATGAATGCGCTGCGGGATTCGCCCGAGAAGGCGAGCTCGAGGTCAGAGGCGCGTTGTGTGCATAGTGCGGCGGAGGCTAGTGTTGATGCGCGGGAGAAGAGGGTTACGACGGGCATGATGAGGGCGTGGAGGATATCGCGGTGGAGTATATATGTCTGTTTCGCCTGGGGAGAACATTGCGTGTGTGTTGCGCAGAAGCTGGCATACTTGTTAGTGATTGAGGTTTGCCGTAGAGCTGGGGGTGGATAGGCATGTGGAGGTGGAGAGAAGCGATACGAAGCGCGATAAGCTGCTCGCGACGGGGGAAGAAGAACAGGAACATGAACATACTCAGCATCACCAGCCAGATGCCTCCTCAGCGCGCAAAAGGCCTTTGACTCGCCCAGCGCCTCTACATCCTCATGTGGGATCACAAAAGGGCTCTCCATCGGCACAGCGTATCCGTAGTCCATCGTATCTCTCTGTCGGCGTGGCTATCTCGCTTCGCATCGGTATGCAGTCGGGCTATCTCGAGTCGAAAGGCAGACGAGAACGAACAAGCTTCTTTGCACGACGAGGCTAAAAAGCAGATAAGAGGGGGAAGAGCAAAGCAAGCAAGATGCCAGGGAAAGAAGGCTTCGAGGGTATTATCATTATTCCCTGCAACGGACGGCCGTTCCCTATTTCACCCCCCAAATGACGCGAACGAGCCTCCCTCATGCCCAGGAGCTCCACCCGCTGCTGCGCTGCCGGGGTGGAGACTGCTGTAGATCTAGACTTGCATATTGCGCACCCCCCTTTCCTTATCCGCCCACGCTTGTGCAGAGCCCGTATCTCACGACTGCTTTATGTAGCCAACTAGCTCGCGCCAGATGGCATCACCACCGGCCGGGAAGTACTGCCTTTCGGATTCGGGCAGAAAACGCGGCGTGGGCGGTTAGTTCCCTGTTGCGCATCAACAGCTTGCTTTTCTCCGCACTTCAGCGGCATCAACAACGAAGAAGCGGTGGAGCATTTATTTTGCGACCTCGTTAATTTGAGGGAAGCGAACTGCCTCCTGTATCTCATACAGCAGGTGTGCCCGCGCCTACGTACTTCTCTCCCTTTCCCCTAAACCAATTTGCGAGCATGATCTTCAATGATGCAAGCGCAGCTACACCGACCCGACCGCACAGAGGCCGATCAACCCGAACATCGCGATCGAAACGAGAACGACGTCGTGGGTAGAGCGGTCGGTTGACAAGGACGACCCCGCTGAAACACGTTTCGATAAAGATAGTCGTTAGCCCAAGGGTTCGCGAGAGGCACTAGATATCGCGACATTGTTAACTGCCGCACTATTGGAAGCGCGTAGCGGCCGACATCACCACCTCAGCTGCGCCATCTCTCGACTTGCAGATGTCATGGACGCACCGCCTGTATCTCTATGCGAATGGTTCTTACACCTGCATTGCGAACTATTCGGCCCTGCGTCGCTGGCGATATCGCTCGGTTTATGAAATATGGAGCCGAATTACGCGTATCGCTTGCTGGTACCGCGGCCGTGAACAGGGTGCGTCCCGTCAACATCGCAACATGCTACAATGACAGGACAGAAATGTTTGCGTGGAACGGAAGATTGGTGGTGAAATTTTCATGACGCTACAATGATTGATTCAGATACAGGCTGATACGGGCTGAGTGGGAATTGGCTGACGATGGCGTTTGCGCTACGGAGGACGGGCGCTCCCGTGATCGACGCTACAGCAGGATGCAGTCTCAACTTTCCTGCTTGAGATGCACTATCGTGGTGCAAACTATCAGTTTCGCTGTTGAGATGACGTTGCCCAGCCAGTACCACGGCTGATATCGACGCCTCTTCCCCCTTTCCGGTCTTCGTTCTTCCCCCACGCTCACCCACCAGTACAGTAGGAGACCCCTGGGACGTGCAGGCGCATCGGCTTGTAATCCGTCGATTTGGCTGCTAGTCAGGAACGACTGAAACGTGCAGTCGCGCTATCGATCAATTGTCTTGTAGCGCACGCCGGAGTGACAAGCGTTCGAGAATGATGCCATATTTAGTAGCATGACAGATTCGTCTTGTAAGAAACGACTGCAGCTAATGTAGACTTTGCGTCTATCGGACTTGGCTACCAGTGGACTTCAGATAACGGACAAGCTATGCATCGGCCTTTTGTGGTTTGTTGCACTTCGATATCGAGAACGGTAGCTCTGATGAACTCTAAGATTTGTTTGGCCAGCCCGTGCCGCCGGTATCCTCTGGTCGATGATAAAACATTACAATATCAGCGAAGCCTTCTTCACCTAAACCAGAAAACTGAGTACGACCCATCGTTGCTAAGGATGCGTCGTTGGGTGCCGTCGGCAGTCTGCTTCCTCCCGAAAGGATCCGTAAGTAGCATTGTAAGCTTCTCTGAAATCGGGCCCATCTCTTGCTTCGACACAGGTATGGGTGGGCTCAACAGACTCGGATCAGGCTGCAGGATGGCAAAGATGCTGCTCTTTGATCGACCGATCATCCGACGATGGACATCTTGCAAGTGGTCGTATAGGGGCCAGAGTGTCTCCAGGTATCGCGCGGCGACGGGTTCGCATGGTTTACATGGCTCGAGCATATCCATGCACGACTTGGCGTACGTGAGATCAGCTTCGACTCCTTCAGTTTGACCGTCCATGAGTTTAGTCGTTGCGCTGAAGAGCAGGCAAATGGCAGCTGAGAATGCCCAGTAAATACTATGATCGTTAGTTCGTGGGGTGTTCGGGTTTTGTATACGAACTTACATGATCCAGCAACGCGTTGTCAGCGTACCGTCAAAAGAGATAAGGCTCAATATGCGAGCAATGTTCTGGGCAGCCATTGCACATTCCTGTCGGTATATCTTGACATCTTCGACTGAAATGTTATTCAACGCAGATGGAATTCCGTCGATAAGCTGGGCTTCTGCTGAAGCCACTAGTAGCTGGCGGTATAGCAGGACCAGTGCACCAAGATACATGATCTGAATCAGTCAATAAAATGATGATACAAGAAGATGGAAGGTCTCCTTACGTGCAACATAAAGACCGCTCGCCTTTGGAAGACTGTCAAGTCTTGTGCGGCACTAGACAGAAGCGTAGGGATCTGTAACGTTTGCGGAACTTCTTCACGCCACTTTTCCAGCTTCATTGTGAGCATGGTGATGTTCCCTTTGGTAGCTAGCTCTGGAGATGCCAGTGTCTTGGCAACCTCGGCGGCTATCAGGTTGATCTTGCTGGTTTGCATGTGTATGAGTTCATCGATGGACAGCTGATCTTGGCGATGGGCAATGCAGGCGACCTAGCCATGTTAGTATCATGAAAATCAATATAGGCTCGCCCTGGCATACCTGGATGTCACTGGCTGTCACCTCAGTGGGATAGCCGAGGGTGTAGGCAAGCCATGAATCCATGAATACGAGGCTACGGAATATCTTTCTCCAGTGGTCGTCCGTTGCTGAGCGAGACGAAGTTTGCAGAGCCGGATACTTCCAACGGGCGATCTGTAGTCCTGCAGCTGTGGCTTGTTAGTACAATCACATGATCAAGTGTACGAGTTGAACATACCGATAAGATACTTGGCGCTCATGTGCTTCTCGAGCAAAGAATAAAAGGACAAAGATAATAGCAAGCGCATTGTGCGGAAATAGTCTTGTCTGGCAGTCTGCTCGTTGAAATGAAGGGTCCCAGATGCGTAGAGCAATCGGCGCATCCGATCAGGGTAGGCATCGATGTCGTAATGCGCGCCCATAGCAGCAACTGTGAAGCATTCGGCAAGTGTCATGTCGTCCACCTTCTTTTGGGGCCGGTAGATACGGTCAAGTATCTCATTAACCTCATCATAAGTCCACAT